GCCCGGGAGCGCTGTGGCTCGGGCCTGGCTGTAGCGAGCAGGCGGGCTCCAGCATGGAGCTCCGGCCCTCAGCACCCAAGTCTAGGGTAAAGGGACCCATGCTGTCAGCGTCACCTGGCTGGCATGGGAGCAACCCCCAGGGATGCACACCAACGTGGGGCCCAGGTTTCCAAGAGGCCCCACCCCAGACCTTCCCGTCCCAGCCTGTGGAGGGATCAGGCCACAGAGGGAGGCGATGGTCTGCGAGGCTCCCGTGTTCCCGGCTGGTTGTCCTGTCTCGCCTATCCCGCCCCACCCCTCCCAAGTGGATGAGGCTTGGAGGAAGCCAGCCCTGGTGGCCAGGAGAAGGGTCCTGGGGCCCCCGGGGGAAGAAAGGAGAATCAGGCTCTTGCTTCAGAGCAGGGAGGCGGGGCCCTTGGTTCCCTCCCTGAGGGCTCTCAGTTGCCAAAGAGCCTAGAGCCACGAGGCTCCTTGGGCTCAGGGCAATTCCAAGGCTAGTGACAGGGAGTCCATGGAGACACTCCCTATGAGGAAGGAGTGGAGCTTGGGCCTGTCACAGCAAAGGTCGCTCACAATGAGTTAGTGATTCAGGTGCAGCCAAGGACACCACTTCCCACCCTTGCCTTCAGTCTCCCCACCCCTCCTCTCTGGGCGCCTAACCCTGCCCCAGCCTGGGGGAGAGGGGCTGTTCAAAACCTGGCCTCCCACCCCCTGCACCCATGTCCCCAGTCCCCTCTTCTTCCACTGGGCACACTGATACTTCCTCTCCCTCAGCATCCTCGCGGGGAAAATGCCACTGTGTGGGTTCCAAGCAGTCAGTGCGGCCTCGGTGGAAAGGCAGAGTCTTCATGCATGAACTTCCCAGTGCCACCCTGGCGGTGACAGTGCCACCCTGGGGGTGACAGCTGGTGTCACTAAGCAGACTACCGCCCCCAGCTTGGGAAGGGGCTGGAGCAGGGCTGGAGGGCTCCGAGGTTTGGCAGAACCTGGAGCCTTCTGAGAACGGGCTGCACCCAAGGGTGGGACAGTGGGTCTGGGCGTGTCAAGGAGGGAATTTGGGGCACAGCAGATAGCTGTGCAGGTAGGGAAGAGGCAGACTGCAGCAGGAGAAACCAAGAGGGTCATGGGAGGTTTGTTTCCAGATGAGAGAAACTGACAGTTTTAAATGCCCACCAGGAACCACAAAGTCCCATCAGACAAGGGGGTGCTCCTAAGGCCTGGCAGGGGCCACCAGCTCTGAGCCCTTCCTGGGGACACTTGGGGCTCTGGGCTAGCAGATGTCACACAGAGGCTTGGGGGACTGGGGGACATGCTAGACCACCTCACTAAGGGGGCTTGGACTGACCCTGCAGAGGCGAACGCTAGTGACTCACTGACTTCTCCAGGCCTGGACTATAAATAGCCACCGGCCTGGGTGGGGGCAGGGAGCTGGGGCTTTTCTAAAAACAGCCCTGCCCAGGCCCAACAGCTGGGGCCCCTGCCAGTCACACGGCCCAGCCCGAATTTTAACACCCCCACCCCCCAATCCCCACAGTGGGCCTGTCCCCAGGTGGTGGGCAGCACAGGAGCCACCGAGCTTGGGGCCATCCATCTGGGCCCTGCTGTCTCGACGTGTGACCTTGGGCAGGAACGAGGGTGCATGGGCGTGTCCACCTGTGGGTTCACTCTTTGGGGGCCACACCTCCCTGTGGGAACATCGTACACGGTGGCCCAGGACACACAGACACCCACAGCTGCCTGCATACACACCTGCAGCCACGGAGCCTCACCATGCAAGGCACACCCAGAGCTCCTGTCCGTTTTGGTTCCTTTGCTGGCTGTAGCCCACTAAACTGACTTCTCACGGAGCAGAGAGGAAAAAGAAAAACCAGGCTCCGGAGAGGCAGCTCCTCCTCCTGTCACAGGGTCCCCAGTCCCACCTCTCCAGGCAGGCGGGGCGATGGCCTCAGTTGCTGCAGGTCACCCTGTAGGTGACCCCGCCCAATACTCCATAGTCCAGTTTTACTGGCAGATCTGTGAGGGGTGGGGAGGGGGAGGCGTTGAGCTATTTAACTTAAAAACAATAGCACAGATGGGAATGAAAAATGGTGCAGCTGCTTTGGAAAACAGTTTGGCAGTTTCTTAAAAAGTTAAACATAAACTTAGCATGTTGCCCAGTTGTTCCTCCACTAGGAAACTACCCCAGATAAATGAAAACTCGCATCCACACGAGGACTATGCAAATGTTCACAGCAGCAGGATTCGCAGAAGCCCCAAGCTGGAAGCAACCCAGATGCCCATGGACAGAAAAGCAAACAAAATGTGGTCCATGCATGCAATGGAATGCGCTTCAGCCATGAAATGCAGTGACGTCCTCATACAGCCTGCAGTGAGGATGGAGCCTGAAAACAGTTGAAGGAAGCCAGGGGACATGCGTGACGAGCGCAGGTGAGTGACTGCCAGGGCTGGGGAGGAGCGCAGGCAAGGGGTCAGACTGATGGGTGCCAGAGGACTTCTTGGGGTGATGGAGAGATTCTCAAAGTGCATCACTGCACAACCTTGATCTGCTGGAAAGCAAATACCACCACAGCACACACATAACCAGCAAGTCTGGTGGTCTGTAAAGTACGCCCCTGTAGAGCTGCCCCCATCTCACCACTGTTGGGTGCTGTTCACCATGGGGTCTGCCCTCTTCTAGACGTTTCTCTCTACTTCCTGAGGGCTTCAGGGACAGCCCCTGGCCTGGGGGACTGGGGGCCCGTCAACAGTGAATGCTCACACGGGGCCTGGGGAACTGGGGGCCCTTCAACAGTGAGTGTTCACACGGGGCCTGGGGACCTGGGGGCCCCTCAACAGTGAGTGTTCACACGGGGCCTGTCCGGCGCTCACCACATTTGTGGGAGCCCCCATCCACCCACTCCCGCAGCCTCTGAACGCAACAGTCACACACCGGGCTAGGTCTGCTTTTTATTGGCCACACGTCCAGCTGCCAGCCTCAGGGCACACCGCTGGCAGGCGGCAGGCTCGGGCAGGCTGCCCTCGCTGGGTGGGCAGTGAGGGGGCAGAGGCTGCTGGGTGTCACCCTGCAGCCCCTCAGGTGGACTGTATTGTCCCCAGGGCCCGCCCATCCTGGGCAGCTGGCACCGGGAGGGGTTTTCTGTTGATGTGATGGCCAAGTTTCAGCTGCAGGGCAGAGGCCTGGCGGTGGCAGCAAATGCACACCGCTCCCCACTCCAACTTCAGGGGCTGGACATGCTGGGATGGGGGCCAGACCCCACGGGAGGGGACCCTGGCCTGCCATGGCACTGCCTGCCAGCCTACCCCTGCCCAGGGCCCCCAACTCAGCCACCTCCGAGCAGTAAAGACTCGCAAAGCATTGCGTTTTGATTAAACCCTGCTGGGCTGAAGGGCAGGCAGAGCTGTGGTGGACACTGGCAGGACACAGCCCCCCCGACTGGCCCTTGGCAGGCTGCACCGGGTGCATGCGGGTGTGGGCCAGGGTCGCCTTTAGGAAGCAGGTAGGAGGCTGGCGCGTGCAGGCAGTCCAGGAGGGCACTAGGCCTGGCAGGGTACTGGTGCCTGTTGGGGTCCCAGCCACAACACCCAAAGAAGGCTCCGGGAGGGCCCCAGCTGGGTAAGGCACGGACTTTTGGTTTCCGGGGCCCAGTCCCAGCCTGGCCCCCAGAAGAGCCTCTCTTGGCAGAATGGCAGCATGTCCTGTGGCCTGGGCTCTCTCACTTGGCCTTGGGCCTGGGCCTGAGGCCTGTAAGGAGAGAGAAGAAATGACATTATTAGGAGCAGCTTTGCTGGGTACAATACCAGGTGCCCGCTTCTGGGTACCCAGGTCCCTGAACCCCTCATCACCACTGTCCAGCGGGTTGTGCCAGGCATCTCAGGTCCACTCTGACCCCAGGCTCTTTCTCTGGAGCAGCACAACTTATCTAGGTGGAAGATGCCGGGATGGCCTGGCCAGGCTGGGTTTTGGCAAGGTGTGGCAGCCTGAGCCTGTGTCCTCTCTGCTGAGATGGGGAGTCTCTGTGGCCTGTCTCCCACCCCATGTCTCAGACCCAGGCTGCACTCTGTCGTTACTCATTAATCCCCACTGCCACCACCTGCAGCCCTCCATCGCTTCCACATCGGGCCCAAGCCCCACATGAGGACCCCAGCAGCGCTTTCTCCAGCGGGCTGCTGAGGGAGCTCAGCCCTGGCCCAACAGCTCCTGCCACCCAGATGGCCCCAGAGATGGCCCCACAGGCCTCCTGCCCCCAACACCCTCTTCGTTCTCTGGTCCAGGGGCCCTCGGTGGCCCTTGTCTGAGTGCTACCCCCATTGCCACCACAGTGCCAGGTGGTGTCCCAGCTCCCCAGTGGGACAGCCCAGGCGGGGTTTGAGAACCACTACTCTGAAGAGACAGAGGAAGAAAACAAAAGCTGCCCAAAATGATCACTCAGAGGGGGATCTCAGCACCATTCCCCACTCAGGGAACCCAGAGAAATGGCCAAGACCAAGGCCTGGGCAGGGATCGGGGGGGATCAGCAAGTCTCGGGTGAGCTGGGAACAGAGGCTTGTGACAAAGATGGGAAGCGCTCAGGGGCTGTGGGCCAAGGGCCCCCGCTGGTCCCCATCAAATGCACGACAGTGGCAGTGATGGATTACTGCACATTCAAAACTCACGTGATGGAAAAAGGGAGGGGAGAAGGGAACACTCGGAGGAGGGACGGCAAACACAGAACTGCGCTGCAGCCATTTGTTCCACACGTCACCACAGGTGCTTATTAACTAGAGAGCACGGTGTTCGTGCAGTGCAGGTTCAGAGACCACCCCCGTAGCCGTGGTCAGCGCTGCTGCCACGAACATCCCCACCCAGCTGGGGAGGACATGGCGTCCCTTGGGGTAGAACTCCTGCCCCAAAACTCAACCTGGACCTACTTGGGGGGAGCAATCAGGCAAACCCAAAGTGAAGGTGTCTTCCAGAACGTCAATGTCATGCAAGACAAAAAGGGGCAGGAATGTTCTCGAACAAGAGACTGAAGCTATATGACAACCAAACACAGTGTGTGATTCTGGATACAATCTTGTTTGCGAAAACAACAAAGCAACAGCTATTAAAAGAATTATTGGGACAAGTGGCACATCCGCACTGGCACCGAGTGTTAGAAGCACGTGGACAGGAAGCGTCCCTGCAGCACGCCCTGCCTGCGGGGGACTGGGGAAGACAGCTATGCTCTCAGGTGTCTATGGGCGAGTTTAGGGGTCCAGTGCCATGATGTTTATAAGAAACTCTCCAATGGCTCAGTTGGAGGGGGGCAATGTAGCAAAATGGTCACAATTTTGGTATTTTTGGCAAATGGTTGTAATTTCGGGGAGAAGGTGTTGTTTATTCTGATCTCTATGCAATTTCCTGTGGTGCTGAAGATTTTCTAAATAAAAAGTTGGGGGCTAGACATGGTGGCTCATGCCTGTAATCCCAGCACTTTGGGAGGCCGAGGCGGGTGGATCACCTGATGTCAGGAGTTTGAGACCAGTCTGGCCAACATGCTGAAACCCCGTCTCTGCTAAAAATATAAAAAATTAGCCAGCCGTGGTGGCGCGTGCCTGTGGTCCCAGTTACTCAGGGGGCTGAGGCAGGAGAATCACTTGAACCTGGAAGGTGCAGGGTGCAGTGAGCTGAGATCACATCACTACACTCCAGTCTGGGCAACAGAATGAGACTGTCTTGAAAAAATAAATAAATAAAAATAAATAAAAAATAAAAAGTTGGGGAGAGAAGAGGAGGATTCCTTCCTCCTGCCCTCAGCCGCCTGTGTGGCAGGAGCTGGGGTGGGTGGAGGCTAAGCACGTGCAGAAGGTTCAGGAGGGAACCAGGTGGAGCGTGGAACTGGCACTGGGCATGTCCATCTTTCACTGGACCACTGTCAGACTTGGCCGCCCGCCCCAAGCCTGCATGCTCCACTGTTCCTCACACTCAGGGACAGCAAGTCTAAGTTCCAGCCTCTAAGGGAGATGCCAGCACCTTTCTAAAAAATACATGTGGGTGCTTCACACCAGAGCCACACTCGGAAGATGACCCTGGAAGCAAAAGCCGGACCCCAGGGTGAAGGCCGTGCCCCCACAGTGAGGACAAACTGTCTGGAGAAACTTCTCTGGGCTCACGACCGCTCTTGCCTCTGACGGGCACCAGCAGACCTCACATGTCTTAAGCCTAAGCCCCAGGCCCAGCGGTCAGCATATCTGCGATGCACGGACACTGGGCTCACTCTGAGCAAGGCTGGAGGTGCTGGAAGACGCCACCACCTGGGCTCACAGAGCTCACGAGCGGCCAGGCTGGACCTTCTGGTTCTCTGCTCTAGCTCCTCCTCCAGCCAGCGCAGGCTGGTCTGTCTAGCTGGATGCATCAGCCTCGCCAGCCCTGTGGACGGACCTGGCTGACTGACCCTCGGCTGGGGGCCCCCCAGAAGACGCTGTGCGCTGGGGGTAATCTGCAACTCCACAGACCCACCCATGGCCTCGGGGTAGAAGGATACTGTCCAACAGGAGGGGGGCTGCAGTGTGCTTGTCCCTGGCAGCATCTGCCCTTGGGACTGTCCCTGTCTCCTCACAGACTTCCTGGGGACACGCCCCAGGAGGCCCCACTCCACTGACACAGTCAGAGTGAAGATATCCCTCCACTGACAGACAGAGCAGGAAAGCCACAGGGCTACTGGAACTGCAGTTAGGGCCAGGACACCAGACAGGAGCAACCTCAGCCTGTCCTGCCAGCCAGGAGGTCCCGCCCACGCCCCGGATCCTGCTCACTAAGGGAGCCCGGCTAGCCCTGCCACCTGCCCTCCCGAGGCCTGCATGCCCGGAGCCAGCGCCGAGGTTGTGTCTTGCCTGCGGAAGGCACCAGGTGAGCAGGTAACCTGCGGAGAGGCAGGGGACAAAGGGGAGGAGCCCACCACCAGGGCTGCAGGAGAGGCGAGGCCACACTGATGCACCACGCGGGCTGGAGAGAAGCCAGGTTAGTGTCCCGGAGGGGTGTGGGCAGCAAGCTCTGTCCCCGCTGCCCTTTAGCTGCTGTTAGCCCCCACGGAGCGCCGGCTGCGTACATACCTTACTGGATCACACACAGTTTCTTTGTTTTATTATCATCAGAATCAGGGGGAACCTCTGCTTTCAAATAAAAGAAATGCACTCAACGGCTTATCACACAGGAGCGACCCTGACTCAGAGCGGGTGGGACTGGGGGGCCCGGGACAGCCATGCCAACACCCTCGGAGGGCTGCCCGGTTCTCTGGCCACTGAGCTGCATGGCAACCACTAGCCTGCGACCTGGTGCCCAGTGTCCGCCCCTTACTCCCTAACGGAGGTGGCGTGAAGGTGGGAATTAGCGGGTTGCAGAAACAGTTGCATGGGCCATGGCAGCCCAGAAAGCCACCCCCGGTGGGTGCGCTGCTGCCTCCTCTCCCGCGCCGCGCCCAAGTCACCTGTCCTGGGTGCTGCTGGAACTTGCAGTGCCCAGCGGGGAAGGGGAGGGACTGGCTGGGTGCCAGCGCCCTGGCATGGGACGGTACCCAGGGCCCCTCCCTGAGTTACCTTCCTGGCTCCTGGAGGGACGCTTCTTCCGTCGCTTGCCAGTCCCCTTTGAGGCCCGGCCCCGGGCCCTGGGGAGTGTGCCCGACCCCGAGGAGTCGGTCACCGCATCCTCGGAGAAGGACTTGTCCAGGGATGTGTCCAGCGCGGACTCTGGGGCTGTATCCTCCTCGTCCTCGTCCCCATCCTCACCCGGGCCTGCCGCAGGGGGTCTGGCACCACGGCTATGGACTGCGTCCTCCAGCCCCTCGCTTGTGCTGTCGGCCTCGGCCTGCAGGACGCCCAGCAAGGACGTGGGATCCTTGGCATCTTGGCTTGAACTTCCAGCTGCAGGGGGCTTGTTGCTGGAGAACTTGAGGGGCTTCAGGGCCTGAGCATCTCCCAGAGTCACTGGCCAGGCCCCCTCCAAGGGTTGGGGGCACTGGGCATCCTCGGTGGTTAGGACGTCGCTGGCATCCTCATACCAGGAAGAACGCCTCTCCAGGGGCGGGGGACCACCCTCCTCCGACTGCTCCAGCGTGGGCTGAGGGCAGGGGGTCACGGCGTCTACAAGGTCCCAGCCCCGGGACTCGCTGGCCATTGTAGCATCAAGGTCGGGCTTAGAGGCGGGACAGTGTGTGCCTCCCACGGGGTCTCCTGCAGAGTTACTGGTGGCCACTGCGTGGAGGGACATGCCAGTGAAGGGCAGGCACCCTGCCCCCAAGCCAGCCCAAGCGCAGCCTCCTCCATCCCGCTGTCTACCTGAACGCCCTGCAAAGCCTCCTCCCCAGGAAGCCTCCCCTGATGTCTCAGAGCAGGACCTGGCCTCAGCGTCCTTGGTCGGTCTACACTGTGGCAGGGCGGGGGACACTAGGCCGCACCATCCCCAGCACCCTGAGGCAGCCACCCCAGGAATGGGGTCCTCCCACCAGGGCCTTGCCGCCTGCCTTTCCTGCCACGTCTAGCACCCTCAGCCCAGGGGCATCTGTCAGTGGGCCTGGCCTCATCTCTTAGGAGCCCAGCAGGCTGGGCCACTGCTTCAGCACTCGGGGCAGGGCCTGTTGTTACAGTGGAGGAGTTGGAGTGAGTGGAGGGAGGGATGAGGGATGAGAGCTGAGCAGCCACCACCTGCCCCCTCGGCTGTCCCTAGTCTTAGGGGCCTCCAGGGCGGTCCAGGGGGATGAGAGGGCTTTCCAGTGAAGTCAGGAGGGCTTCCTGGAGGCACAGGGTAGGGACAGTGGCAAGGGGACCATGAGGAGGCCGTGGGAGAGGGTCTTACCAGGCTCTGTGGCTCTTGGGGGGTCCATGGAGGCCACCTTGCTGCCCCCGTCGGTGTCCCCGCGGCCCCGGGCCGTCTTCCGCAGCTGGAAGCCCTTCCTGATGTCGGCCAGGAGGGCATCGATGACACACACCTCCTCCTGCTTCCCGGGCCCCTTCCTGACTGAGGAGTGTGGGACACTCAGAGAGCCGCATGGGGACCCTGGAGCCCACCTAGAGGGCTGGGGGTCGTGGGGAGGCTGGAGCACAGGCAAGGATCCCGGAGCTGCCCTGTCCCCGCCCAGCCGGCCGGCCCAGCCTCACCAGGCTTCCCGTCCTCTCCCCGAGGCCTCCGCGCCTCCTCCTCCGCCAGCTGCTGCTTCCTCCTCTCTGCCTTCGCTGCCTGCTCCTTCCGGTCCTTGTTCTCCTGCACTGGCAGATGTGGCCCCGTCACCCCAGCGTGGCACCCCTCAGGGGCTCCGTGGGCCTGCGCGTCACCCTCCCTGAGCCTCAGCAGCGCAAGGCCCACATGGCTGTGTCCACCCGACGAAGGGTGCCTCTGCCCTTCCTGCTGGAGGAAGGTCAGAGGCCTCAGGACCCCACTCTAGCCGGACAGGCTGTGCCCTGCCAGGCTGCCCCCACCTTCAGGGCACGGAGGAAGAGGTCCCGGAAGGCCTTCATGGTGCCGAACGTGTCCTCCAGGGACAGCTGCCGGGCGTCCTCACACAGGTAGTCGGCCAGCTCCCGCTGCTTCTGCTCAATGGCCTCAAACAGCTCGTCTAGTGCCCGGAAGGCCGAGATGCTGGCCTGAGGGTAAGGACACGTGATGGTCCTGTGAGAGCCCCGCGTGGGCACCACCTAGGGTTAGGCCCTGGGTTGCAGGAGGGTGGTGGCCACAGGGACAGGCCCTGAGGACAGTGGTCTCTGAGAAGGAGCAGGGGCCTGTACCCTGACTGTGCACACCTGGGGAACCTCAGTCCCCAGGATCCACCCTGGAGCCAGGAGACAGCACAGCCGCTCGCCCGGCTCGCTTGATCAGGGCAGCCTCTCCTGCCAGCCCCAGGCCCAGGTGCCCACTTGCCTGGAGGCGCTCAGTATACTGCTCCTGGACCTCGGCCACCGAGGCAGACACCTTCCGCTCAGTCTCCAGAAGCTTCTTCAGGTTGGAGCTGGCCTCTGAGCGGATGATCTCCAGGTTGATCCTGAAAGGTGAGGAGGGCCAGGCAGAGACAGCAACAGCTGACGTCAGCCTTGCTGGGACAGGGGAGCCCCTCCCCTGCACACACCCTGGTGCCCCACTGTGCACACTGCAGGCTGCACTCTGAGGCCCTACGTGCAGTGTTGGGGTTGAGTGCCTGTTCCAGCCGGCCCTCAGCCCCCTGTGGGCATCTGAGTGGGGACCCTAATGGTCAGCCTGTCCTACTTGCCTAGCTCTCCCCAAGGCTGAGCAGCTCCTGGGCCAGAGAACCTTCCAGGGCAGGTGGAGCCCGGGAAGGACCCTGTGCTAGGGGCCCGGACTGTGTAGTGGGGTGGCCCAGGCTGCCCTCCTGCCTGGGTTGTGTGACCCAGGAGGTGACACTGCTTTCCTGGGCCTCTTTTTCCTCATCTATACGATGAGGGAGGCCCGAGCCTGCTCGCAGCTGTGGTGAAGGTTCAACTTGTGAAGGGGCTGTACTAGACCTGCCCCTGGTGTGACCCTGACCTGGCCAGCCCTTGCCCGCTCTAGGCCTGTTTCCTCGCTGAAGTCAGAAGGGGATAGGCCATGGCAGACACGGTCCTGTCCCAGAAGGAAAGCGTTCTATTGGCCAGGGCTCCTAAGGGCGCTGGGGCTGTGCTGCCGCTGTGAGACTCAGTCCTGGCGGGCAGCCACCTCACTGGCTGGGACGGAAGTCAGGCCCCCGCCTGGCTGAGGGGTGTGGGCTGGCAGGCGCTGCCTACCCTGCCGCTTGTGAGGGCTGCTCCAGGTCCTGGGGCAGCTGCAGGAGGTCTGGATGGCTCTTTTCCGCTTCCTGCAATGGGACACGTCCAGTGAGATCCACCGTGGCCACACTCTCCGCCTGGGGACGCCCCTGTTCCCACCCCCCCAGCTCTAACCCTTAGCAATTAAGGTCCAGAAAACCCCCGGCACTCCAGACCCTCAAATCTTTCCCTTGGGCCTGGCGATGACTTTGTGGTGTTTCTGCTTTTCCTAGGGACTGTCCCCCCAGACCAGGGGTAGGTATCCTGGGGAGGGACAAGGCTCATTCAGGGGAGCCAGTGCTGCAGGAAGGAAGGGGTGCTGGGAGGGATGGGGGCACGGCTCTGACTGAGGCTGCTGGCTCTAGATGGGGTCCTGAGACAGGGAGACCGGCGGCCTGAGTGGTGGGCACAGGGGGGTATGGCCTCTACACCTCTACACTGCAGGTCCGGGGGGACCTGAAGCCCTGCCATCGTGCCCCCGCTGGTGCCTGCCGCCTCGGCCCACCTCCAGCACGTGGTGCAGCAGCGTCACACGGTTCTGCTGGGACTTGGTCTCCGTGAGCTTCAGCAACGTGCTGATCTTGAAGCCGTCAGCATTGCCGGTGTGGCTGCCCTGGGAGAGCCCGGGAGTGAGTCTTGCAAGCCCCAGGCAGGCCAGGTGGGATGGGGAGCTGCCCCTGACTTACGTAGTTGAGGAAGTTCCCAATTCTCAGGATCAGCTGGCAGAAGATGGGCAGCTGGCGGCTGGTGAGCAGGCCTGCAGGGGCAGCCAGGGCTGGAGAAGGGCTCTTGGTTCGGAGCCCCCAGATGCCCTGGCGGTGGGGTGTGGTCCTGCTTGCCAGTGCCCCTGCACTCCCTGGCTCCTCCCCAGGCTCAGCCCAGCACCATAAGGGAGGGACACATGACAGGGCCTGGGGACTGCAAACCCTCCACCGATGGGAGTGGACACCTACAGTGTGCCTGACAGATGTGAACTGGTCCGTACCTGTCCCTCTCCCTGCCCAGTGGCTGTGGCAGCTCTCCGAGGATCCCCTTTCACAGATGGTATCCGTGTGTGTGCACTTGTGTCTGTACATGTATGTGAGAGTGTGTGTGTGGGGGCGTGTACATGTGTCTGTCCTGTGTGCATATGTGTGACTGTGCTCGTGAGCTTCTGTGTGTGCACGTGCCTGAGAGTGGCGGTGTGCTTGTGGGCACGTGCCCGAGAGTGGCGGTGTGCATGTGTGTGCATGTATCCGAGAGTGGCAGTGTGCGCATGTGTGCACGTGCCCAGGAGTGGTGGTGGGCATGCATGTGTCTGTGTGTCCAGCAGGTGTGTGCACCAAGGTGGTGGCAGCAGGGTGGTTTCCGGAGTGGTGAAGGCTGGCACCCTTGGGTGCTCTTAGCAGCCATTATGATACTGCCACTAGCAGGGGCCCCGAGCAGCCCTCCGGCTCTAGTTCGGAGGCCTGTCCCTCCGGCACACGTGCCCCACTTGGCCCCACTCACTTTCGCAGGCGGCCAGCACCAGCTGGGCCTTGGGCCGCACCATGTCCAGCACGGCGGCCGCGCCCTCACACAGCAGCATGCACTCGATTCGCAGCTGGTAGCTGGGGATGGTACAGACAGGGATCAATGGCCTGAATCTCCCCGCCCCGTCCCTGCCAGAGGGGCACTCAGCACAGGGCTCTGGCTTGGGTGGTGGGCAAAGGGAGGGGGTTTCCACTGCCTGCCCCGTCCAACAGGCACCCTCCTGGGCCTGCGCAGAGCGGGATCCAGTTGCTCCAGAGGCCTCGAGCCTCACACTTTGAGGGGAAGGACTGGGGGCGGGGCTCGAGTGATGTTTAGAAGCCCGACAGCTGCAACGCTGCTCCTGGAGCCCGGGGCAGCCATTGGCACAGCCCCTTCTCCACCCTGGTTGGGCCCTGCTCCCTATTCCTGCTCTCCTCCCACCTAGGGCCCAGGCCCTGGGGTCTGAGGGAGGCTGTGCTCACCAGGGAATGGCCAGCAGGAGGAGGTAGAAGTGGTCGGCGTTGGCCAGCTTGGCTCGTTCCTCTGTGAATGCCCGCAGGTTTTCAATCTGGCAGGAGGAGGACGGCGTGTGGGATCCCCCGACACCAGCTTCCCACCCTCCCGGACTGCCCACTGGGCTCAGCCCCTCCAGTCCCATCACAGCTCCCTGTGGCTCACGGTTCACGGCAGAGGTGGGGCTGGGATGCCTCCCTTCTCTGTCTCCCTCCTGGGAGGAGCCCCGGGGACAGCCTCTCCCTTGGTTGGTGGCACTAACTGGGGGCAGGGGGTGGGAGTGATCCTCTCACCTCGTGCTTCTCTGGAAGGAGCTTAAGGAGCTGTTTGAGAACCTCCACATCGAACTTGGTGGTATCGCCGGCCCGGATCATAGCAGCGACCTCCTCGTTGGAGCTGGAGCAGGGAGAGGACCGGGCAGGGGCGGGTGAATCGTGAGTCAACCCCACCCAGCCTCTTTGGGACCCCGCCTGGCAGGGTCTCCCCACGCAGTCATGGGGTGGCCAGGGCAGGTGGGACACAGGGCGGTCGAGTTGTCTGCCCACGGTCATGCGGTGAAGGGGACCCAGACTGACTCCTACCCTCGCTATCCCTCCATGGGCCCTGCTCAGGAGATGCAGGGTGGGTCAGTCCAGCCTGCTCCCTCGGGCCAGTGCT